GAATGAAAACGAGTCGGAGAGGAAAGAGAGAGAATGAAAGAGAGTGAATGAGAGCTCAAAAAAATGATTAAGTCTGAGAATTTGTTTTAATTTTTATGTTAAAAGCCGATGTTGTAATGAAGCAGATTTTCAGACAAAAAAAAGAGTTGAGGAAGAAAAAAAAAGATTTATGAAGGTAATGGAATGACGAGAAGTAAATAATTAGAACCACATGGATGAAGCTGAATGAGAAGATTTCAATTATTTTTTGAACTTTCCGAATCATCTGCTGTCTTGAGCATTTTTTTTCCTCGTTCAACATCAGAAATTCATTCGAAAATTTGAAGAAAACATATGTGCAACGGATGTCTTTTGTATATTTGATGGAAAAAAATTGAGAAGCAGAAGCAGAAGAAGAAAAAAAAGCTGAATACCATGCATTTTCATACGTGAATTTGCGGAAGAATTAAAAAAAATTAATTGAAAAATAAACAAAGAAGGACGGAAGCATTCAAGCTTCCGTCAGATAGAGAGAGGGAGAGGAGGAATAAGAAAGAGAAAGTAATATGAAATGAGAAAAAATTTCGTTGCATCTTCTTTGATTTCAGAGTGCCAGAAGGTGTAAGGAAGGTTTAAAAATCAGTTTGATAAGCTGGTAGAGGTCAGGCGTTAAGTCTGTTTTTCTTCGTTCTCAGATGTAAAAGAGCACAATCATTAGGATGAGATGAAGATTAATTAACAAAAGATGTGAACACAACTGAAAATTGGAGGAAGAGAAGAAGAAAAAAAAAGAAAACACACACACAACAACTACAAGTTCGCTTTGAATGAACGACGCATGATGCTTTCTTCTTTTTCTTCTCATTTTTTAATTAATCTGATGAGCTTTTTTATAATGAAAATGTGAAAGAAGCACATGAAAATTATTTATGAAGGAATATAACAAAAAGAATTTTTGCATTTTACTTCAGATCAACTGTTCCATTTTGAAAAAAAAATATGAAAATCGGGACTGCAGAGACTGCGAACGGATTGAACTGCTAGGAGGATTATCAAATTACATCTGGCATTCCTGACACAAACTGTGTGAAATTCTTAAAAATCTTTTTTCACTTGAAAAACAATAAGAAGGGAGATGGAGAGAATGGTAGCATAAAGGGTGAAATAACCTTTTATGGTGGTGTTGAATGAATTGATATAAGGCAAATTACTGGAGCATAAAATCCCAAGAGACTTTGAAGAAGTTAGAAAGCCAGGACATCAGAGAAAGAACTTCTAGAAATTATTGAACTTTTGTCTAGAATGTTATCACTCCTACGTATTCTAATAGATTAATGTAAAAATAAAAAAATAATGGAAAAGATGAACGTTCATCTTAGCTAAGTACAGCATCGTGTTTACAAAAAAAATATCAGAAGAAGAGAGAACGAAGATGTAAAAAATTCTCCACAACAATAGTTTGTTGTCGAAAAACCATTAAGTTGGACAAGCTTTCTAAGACATTAGAGGCCATTTAATCTGTTGTGGAGGTAAAGACCGTGACTCAGTTTTCTCTCTCTCTAGACATCCGGAATCAATTAGCTGCGACCATAATGACCATACCATATATGAGGATCATTATTCATTGGAGCACAAGAAACTAATGACATTAGTTTCTGCTTGTTGCTGTTTCCAACTTAAAAAGCTAACTCGAATAGTAATGAGAGCTTCTGAAAACATATCTGGATTTTGTCTTATTAATGAAATAGGGGAGATGCGAGAGACAAAGAGCAAATGAGAGGGCAGGAGAAGGCCAAAGTTGGTTTGAGATTGGGTCAAATTGACTTCAGTGATTGAATAACATTGCAAAAATGGAGAAAATCAACATGAACAAATTGGAAACAAATGAAACGTCAAAGGCGGATCATTCATTTCTTTTTGGAATAGAAGCCAATTATAAATAGACGAAACGACAGATGTAACATTAAATGAGGGAAGAAGTCCAACACTTTCGAGTAAAATTTGACTGAAACATCTTGGGAAGATTAAGAAATTTTTAATTAAATTTTAAATAGAAAAACGTTTTTTTCTCATTCTACCCGTTCACTGAAGGTGACATCATCTACTGTGAATATTCAAGAAGAGAATCGAGCCGATAAAAAAGAGATAATCAGATATGAATGTGAAAAGGTTTTCTCTGTTTATAAAAAAAAAGTTGGATTGAATCCAAACCGATGAAACTCACCGCATACAACCGCACAACGTGTCTGAAGAATGTGTGAATGAAAGCTGTATAGGGAGTGACGCAGCCACGTTAGTGCGTGGAGTTTTTCGAACTGGAACAATCTACCTTCTTCCTTCACCTGTGATTATGAGAAAGTTTGCTGTCAAAATGAAAACCTAATTTATGAACATATTAATGACAAATTCTCGTGATTTAAATGTTGTAGACTTTTCAATTAATTTATAATTTCAAACAGATGGAAAATGAGAAAGCTGACGAATAAGAAAAAGCTGGGAGCTTTAAAAGATTAATAAACCAATGGCTATATAAGGAATTTGGAAATAACACAAACTTCGCGATCTTTTGTCAAACATCATTTCAAAACAAAACTCTGAATTTACTAAAAGTTGCCATTTAGAGTTAATTTCTTTTTTTTTCTCAAATGGCTTTACATATAGTTGAGAGAGAGAGAGAGAGTGGGAGAGAAGAGGAAAGCTGGAGAAGCAATATATTTTTTGAAGTTATGAAGATTTTGGATTGTATTGTAATTAGTTTTTTCCTTTTACTTCCAAACTAAAGCAGGAAGTTGGCAGAAAGGGAGAGAAGAAATAGGGATGCTGTCTAGAATGAGAGAGAAAATGACTGTCAGATTCTTCGTAAGAACGTGTATGGTGTCAAACTTACGGAGAAAAAAGATTTGAGGTTCAATCAAATTAAACCCAATTAAGCCTATGCTTCGTCATTCAGCTAAGTGCAGAACATTTTGAACAAATCAGACTGGGACCTGACAACTTTCATTTTTGACAATGGAATAGGAATTCATAGGCAATAGACCTCACATGAATATCTTTTTGAGCGTTTCATTAAGGCTTTGAAACTGACTGAAAAAGAGAAATTGGACAAAAGTATGAGCTTTCAAACATTCATCGGTGACAGCTATTAGTTGAAATTCGCCAGTGTGTCCATGGCAAGCTGTACATGTTCGAGAATTTGTCAAGATTAGTGAAACTTCAGAACAAGTAATTTAGGAATGACAAAGGCTTTTATGGTAAAAGAAATAGAACGTGTTCGGCATTAAGTTCTTAACTTGCTAACTTCTCGTTGATGAATAATAGCTTATACGAAGACTCAGTCGGTATATATTTACGAACACTATGCATCAGAAGAAGACGGATATTCTTTGAGTAATTCTTCTACATATCCCTCATTCTATCTCTCTATCTATTGCTCTTACAACAACTTCAATTTCATCAAGCATTCGAGGGTGTAGCTGAGCAGAGCTCGTCTGAGGCAACGTGGGATTTGGAGTAAGTATGGAAGAAAGATCTTCTGAATGATCATGATCACATAAATAAATAGCCCCTCGTGGATGAACTATGGACGTTGAAGGTGCACAAATTGCTGCTTGCCAAATGAACGGACCCAAAGTTAAGCTTATTGTTGGTATGAAAAAAAAGGAGACAATTCGTGGATATAATCTAAAAAGCCAAAATACGTAACATTCATTCTAAAAATATTTTGAGATGCATGTTGTGCATGTCATTTGCTTATGAACACATGCAGAACGAAGTAAAAACTGGTCATATCATAATAGTAAAACTCAATGAACTATGTCATTAACACGTGCGAAGATGATTGAAAGACTTCGTAAAATTCTCTTCTCTTCATCCAGAGAGTAAAACGAAGAAACTATTCATCGTCCGAATCCACAGGATCTTCTTTCTTCTTCTCTCCTGTTCTCATCTGTCTACGTTTCTCTAGAGTCGAATGCAGACCAGCACATGCTTCGGATCTTTTCTGAACAAAATGGTCAAGTTCTCGGAAAAAAATCCTTGAGCATAGCTCAATTAAATCTAACCTGTAGATTAGTTTGTTGTTCTGACGAGATCTCAGGTTTGTTCGAAAGAACGCATTGGATTATTTCATCGAGTCTAAAAATCAAAGTCAATGGAGATTTTAGAAGATCAAAAACCTGAGCATAAGCTTATCAGCAGCTTCTACAATTTCAAATTGATCATGTCTCACTGTGTCCTCTCCCGCTATAATCTTCATCGCAAAATCTCTTAATACATCCGCTGATTTATCTGAAAAAAAATACTGAAAAATGTGACATGCCCATTTTTCATATCTCGCCATAATACTGTCCTGCCTTTGAGAAAAAAATCTTAAACACCAACCTAACCATCCGAGCCCATATTTTATAGCGGCCATAGCAATTTGAGAAGGAGAATACATGAGCATCACATCACAAAGAAGACACATCTGTAACTCATCAATCCTTTCATTGGAGATTCAAAATCGAAGGGAAAAACCTCAAAGAATTTTTCAGCTGGACGACGTAGCATTTCCAAATCGAAATTCAAAAGAAGCATTCTAGTTTTCATTTCTAAGAGATGTCCCTCGAAAGGGCTGAAAAGAGGGATTGAAAACGGAGCAATTGATTACTCATCTACCGGAATGGACAATGAACCGTCAATTGATAATTTAAAGCTCTAATGACTTCAGGTTCTAAACCCAAAATCCGAGCAGTATTCTGCTCAGCAGTACCCATACTTAAGTTGTAGACAAACTCATCCACGGAAACGTAGAACTCGTCAATTTTCATGGCAAGATAGAAACATGCCATCATTACTATCTGTACACAAAAAAGTTATTGTCAGCCGCCATCATCTTATCCACCTTCGGACTGTAGTCCATTACTGACCATCCGAGGAATAATCGCTTGAAATATGTGTAGGCGGTCCATCGAACGGTTGGCCACATAGGAGGTTCAAACGTTTCACTGAACCTGAAAGTAAAAGTTTTTCAGGAAATGTATTTTACTCCTGAATGAATCAACCGTCTCTCTCTATTGGATAGATCTAAATGAATCCTTCTCATTTTCTCTATGCCTTTTTATGAGAGCGGTCCGTTGTTTTTTTCAACTCTAACTAACTTTACGGCAGCTTTCTCAATGAAGTGCACCAATAGAAGCTCTTCATCTGGAGAAAGAAAGAGTGCTTCTTCTTCTGCATGCACATATTCTCTATACTTCTCTCGATAAATAGAATTGACCTTAATACTGTTGAGAGGGACCGATTTGTCACTAAGCGTTACCTGTTGACGTTTTTCGGCAATCTGCTCTTCAGTGAACGTCCATTCGTTTTTCTGAGTGCTCGTGGAGAACATTGCCGGAGATCTTACAAGTTCACAGCTTCAAAACAGTTCACAAATGGAAATAAATAAGAATTGAATAAAACAAAAATTGGATTGATGAAAAAAATAAAAAAATCTTTATGAATCTGACAAAAACATGACGTAGTAAAATTTTAACATCAACAATTATCACTTTAAATATATGATTAAAGAAGTTGATTAAGAACAGATAACTTCTGAGAAATTGAAGCATTGAAAAGTTCAATCAAAATGAAAAAACAAGAGAGTACGAATTGAATTGAATATGAAAGGATGGTCTTTACGAATAGGGAATAATATGGCTATCCTACTTCTTTGAATTATTAAAGACTCTGCATAAGGATTAAAAAAACAAAGGTAATGATGACGGACACAAAAAAACATGCTATTCAAAGTAAAAACATAAAGCAATTATCGTGATGGGAATGTATGAGTTGCGCACACCAGAAGCCATTTAGTCTTCGAATGCATTAGCTTCAGCTTAACACGAGAAGTTTAAACTATTCATTCGATTAGAAGACGAACGTTTCCCAGGAGAAGAGACTGGTGAAGGGACATAACGACCCAAAATGGCTTCTTCTATTTTCGGATCAGGATAATACGGAACACGATTTGTCTGAGATATGATCTGAAATAGTATAATTAAATGATACGACCGAGGATGACTCTCTACTTTTCCACTTGTATACATCACACGACCAGGATGGGCTTTATCTACAACTTCTGTTAATTTATCAGCCTGTAAGAAAGAACATGAAATAACATGATTAAGGCAACTACTCACATTTTCACGAATCATGCAGGGTACTCCAGGTAGTAACATGTAGGGTGGGGCTCTACTAAGCATGGGACAACATCTATCCATTAAATGGGATCTCATATCTGTACAAAAGAACGATCCTGCTCCGCATAGAGTGCATTTTAGTCTCATAACTCTGATATGCCCAACCATGTGTCGCCGTCCCTCCTTTAACAACGGTATAAATACATAACTTCCAATATTGTCTTACTTTCAGATTGGGAACTTGATGACCACAGTGTTCACATTCATAAGGACCAGCGGCATCAGATGAGCGTGATGAAGCGTTGACTTGTCTATCAGGATTCTGAAAGATGATACATGAGCACGAGGAAAAGTACACGTTAACTTACTCCACGAGGACGAAGGGCATTGAAAAATAACTCTTTTTGAGCTTGCGATAAAAAGACAGGAACACTTGATAAATCACCGGTAGGGGTTTGAGCTCTTCCATTATCGGAAATAATCTTGAATAATTAGTATGAGGAATAACGATAAAAAATTTCAGTTATACTCTAATAACATCATCGGGGTCACTACCCATAGCAGCAAGACATTGCTTCCGCCGACTACCAGGACTAGATACTGCTTCTGTGCTATTCATACTTCTTCAAAAATATTGATGAAATCATTGAATCTTATTATTCTCTTACTCTCTGTCGATGGAACGCCGTTTGGGGGTCAAATAATTTTGATGAGTTAGGTTTGCGTAAAGCTCTGCCTGCGAGCTACTACTTTCCCCGTTGATAGGAGAAGACGATTCTTTCATGTTATGCGGTTTTCTGGAAAAATGATGTATCAGTTCTTTCTCAAAGATAATATTACTTCCTAAGTGGGCTAGCCACTCTGATACTTATTTTCATTTTATCCTCGGACAAAGCGGACTCCATTAACGGAGCTTCGTTTTTTCGTTTGAGAAAATCAGGAACCTTGAGCTTTATTTTGAGATCATCAGGGGGGATTTCCGGCGTCTTAGAAGATTCATCTTTTCTCTGAAACATATAAAAATAGAACACATTATTCATACAATTACTAACTTTTCTACTGTTAGATCTCTTCTCGGATTCATCTTCAACAACAAAGATATCCATCCATTCAGGACGTCTACGATTACGTGAAGGTCTTACTATGGGACTCTCCCGATCATCCTAGAAAATTTTAAGCTATCATTTCTTCTGACTATACTTCCATACCTCTTCTCTACTTCTGTCATTTTTCGATTTTCTTCCTCTCCTTTTCTTTTCGTTGAAATTGAAAACGGTGTCGGAATCAGAATCGTCAATATTCTGTTTTTCCTTCAATGGTTTATTATATTAAGAAACTCCTGAATAAAACTACCGATGTGGAGAGATCCGATAACGCAGTTCTCATGCTCGCTTCAGACTCCGGACGCTTAAGCTGCAGAATAACTCATGAAGTGCGTTTAAAATCTGGAGATTACCTTTTCAGCCGAACCAGCATAAGATTCAGGTGTCGAAGACATAGCCTTCCCCCTTGAGCATTCTGAACCGCTTTTGAACTTGTAAGATGTTTGATTAGCCACAGGAGACTCTGATGTCTCCACTTTTACATCACAATCTTCCGATTTGACTGAAGATCCTCTTCGCATTGTACCATCGTGCCCGGTCGGTGATGTTTCAGAATTAGTGAAGTCTTGTGGAGTCTGAAACCATGCAACCTGAATTTCACAAACAGTGATGTGTTATTACCTGATTGCTGCTCTGTCCTAACTGCGATACATTTTCGGAAGTGCAAAACCCTTCATCATCGTTGTCTACATTTGGCTCCTCCATCTTTATTATAGTGTCCATCATCTCATCTTGTAAATCACCACATTCCGTTGACAGTGTTTGCAACTCCGTCATTTCTTCATCTCTGCCCAAACCGTCGCAGGTTTCATCGGGAATAGTCTCAATCTCTTCATCAATTCTGCTGGTGCTCGATCCTTCAGAAGAATCTGGAGATCTGTTGCCTGTTAAACTGGCACTGGTGATCTCATTTGACATAACAGGAATGTCCATCATTGTTTTCTCCACAGAATTATCCATTTCAGAATTATTATTGCCATCTGAACTACATGGGCTGGCACTTCTCTCGTAAGATAGAACTGAAGGTGGTCTCGAAGAGGGACTCTACAAAATTTTCTGGATTTTACAGATCTCTTAAATCATATCAACCTTATTTGGAGTTCCTCGACTAGCGGCTAGCGGGCTAATGGAACGAAACTTTTTTGGAACTTTTATCTCACGTCGAGTCTGAAACGAAAGATAGATCAACAGATGAGAAATTGTGTACACAAACTCTAGCCATTCTTGTAAGCTGAGGTGGCTCATCGTCGGTATCATTCGTTGGTTCTTCAGTCAATGAGCTGCTAACTGGATGGATTACAGGTGGACATGACTAAACAAGAAACCACAAGATACGTGATTAACAACCATGATGGTACTCACGTCTTCGGTATCCTCGTCTTTCGTTTCCATTTTACCCTCGTCTGGATTAGGAGGAGGGCTCATGCTTCTATTTCTCAAGACGTTCTGAATGAGGTGTTAAGCGACGAATAATATTCAGACAACTACCTTCCTTATTTTCTTCTTGTCTACTTCGGAAGATTCTTTATTACGAAACTGTTCATGTTCTTCCCTTATTGTTTTGTGTATTTTGAACAGATGGGTCACATAGCCGTTCCACCTTAAGAAAAGTTTTTTTCGGATTAGGGAATCGATGACATACGTTTTTAATGTGAATTTACAAATTAAACAGGGGTAGCGATCGTCACTAGTGCATCGAGAGCCATGCTTCACCGCAATGTGATAAACTAGTGTCTGCAATGTTCATCTTACTGTTTCAGGTTTTTCATTCAAGTTTTACCTGGATGGAGCCGAAACTGCGGACGTTTGTACAATCAGGATGTGAGCATCGAAGTCCCGCTGCATCGGGCCACTGTGGATAATAATTTTGGCACTTCTCTAATATGGCAATCTGGAAGATAGTGTCAATGAGGCACTTCGTCGTTCTCCAAACCTCAGCTGATGAGAACTCCCGAGTTGTTTCTTGTTTGCTCTGAGGGTCTCTTCTGTTACGTAGTTGCATCTCGCGATATCTTTAAGAAATACTCCTTAAAACAATTCAAGAACATAGTTATTACTTGCTAGAATGGTCTTGGGGCATGACCACTACTATTTTATCTTCGGGAATAATTTCTTTCTGTGGCATATTAAGGGGCATCTCAACAACCTGGAAGATATTTAATGGTAATGAACTAGACTAATCAATAGTATATTGAAAGACACAACTACCTTTTGCACCCCGTTCTCAAAAATAGTAATAGGAACTTCTTTCGAAATTCGCGGTAAGGTATGCAATATGAGCTGACTCTGGAAACAAAAATAGAAGAACGGTTAAGTAGAGATCCTACATCAACTCCTGGCACCTTAACCTCGACATCACAGGCTCTCTTATTCAGGGCTCCGATGATGTTGGTTCTTTTAAGATTCCCTGTTGATTTATCATTTTTCTTTGATTGTTCTTTTTCAACTGAAACAGGAGAATCAACTATGGATCTCGGAAAAATAATCAATACTTTTGTCGGCTTCGTCCTCCAACGCTTTACGCAGGTTCTGCGCATGAGCAACAGCCGCTTGATGTAAACCACGACAATAAGTCCTCTTATGGGTTAAGAAATTGGGAACGCTTCGGAAAAGATTTTTACAATATCTGAAAGAAAGCAAAGCATATTAGGAATCTTGTAAGAGTTGAGATTGAACCTGCACTCAAGTATTATGTCGCATTCATTCTTCAATATATTTATAACTTCGGGTGTAGCATCTTTTGAAAATCGCAACAAACTCTCGACTCCTAGAAAGATCATTAATGAGACCAAATATAAACGACAAACCTTCTAAGCCTGTTGGCTTGTTTTGTGAAAGAAGGGCAAGATCTTCCACATAACGAAGAGACATATTATGTTTATGAACTATCGTTTACAGCATCAATCTACTTATTTCTCCAATATTAACCTCTAAAAATATCAGAATCATAATCGAAGAACACAACACATGAGACAAAGAAAATAAAAAAAATATTAGAAGCCGCGCAAACGACCGGTCTAGCAACCATCCTGCGCGCAAGTGCGGGGTAAAATGAGAAAATTGAAATGCAAATTAAAATTTTACGAACTCTCGAAAATGAGAAAAAATTATTTTTTTCTTAACAGTGCATGTGTGTTTTGCAAAGTTCATGCTCATCTACTGTTCAGTTATTATTTATACAAATATGTATAACAACAGGCTGAGTGTATTGATTCCTGTTCACTCAGTTCATATCCTTCGATACTATCGCTGACTGAATCCAAGAAAACATTGTTACAATTATCAGAATAACTACGGTTAAACACTAAATTTCAATAATTTCACTAACATGGAAAGCTGGAATCTTTGGAGGGAACTTTAGGAAAGGGTGCCGTTATTGCAGAACATGGCCAATCCACTATAGCCAGTGCTTATAAATCTTAGAAACTAATTTCGGTTTCACTATATAATAACAGTTTGAAATATGAAGTTCATTCTATCTACTCTATGACAAAAGAAGACGCAAAAGTAAAAGCAAAAAAGAAACGTAAGCCATCAACCACATTTTGCATGGCAAGGTTCAGTCTAATTGGCTTTCATGGATTTTCATTGCTTCCTTCGATTTATGAAACTATTTGGTGAAATTCAAAACAAAAAAATAAAGAAGAAAAATTGAAGACACTACTCGAAAGTCAGCAATCACTGAACAAGTGCGTATGGAAAAGAATGCGTTATAATCCATGCAGCCCTACATAACCTAGCGTATAAGTTAGAAGGCAGCGTTGAGTACATGGAAAAAACGAAACCACAAGACAATATGTTGATAAGAAAAAAACGAAATAACAGTTTAAAAAAAATAAAAAGCTGAACTTGAAACAACTTGAGTTCAGTCAAGTGAGCGTCCACAAGTGAAAATCTGACTCTTCGATACGCTCCGCTCCCGCTAACAACGTACAACGTGCTTCACCAGTTAATCGAACACGAACTTATTGGGAATTAATGAATAATCAAAAGTGAACACAGGATTTCCCTCACTATTATAAATAACAAACGATCTGTTCAATAGCAGAAATTTTGTTTAATAAAAAGAAGAAAGCATTTTTCTTTCGTATTGGTGTGGTTGGCAGTGACAAAACGGACAAAGACAATGCAATCGCTAACAGTTCGAACTTGAACTTCGGAATAATACTAAATAAGGACAAGCACAAAATATTCTGATTCTTATAAAATTAGTAAAGTGAGTAAAATACAATCAAAGGAACCTAATAATCATTACAACGATTTTTCAGGGGTCCATCGTTAATGCCGTTAGCGCGTAAATACAAATTTAATAGAATAATTCAAAGAATGACCAAACGGGCTTAGCTTTTGTGAGATTATCTTTTCTGGTGAACTATCCTAGTAGTGGGGCAGTAAAATTTCTTTTTTCAATGCTCATGCTACGTAGTACTTTAGCATAAATGTGATCGCTGGTACACACTCATGTACTACTGCGAATACCCAAAGTTGCAGGAAAAGTCAGTTCATAAAAAGGATTTCATCAACATATCTATTAATAATAGTTGAAAAAACTGTATAAAGCCGGAAACCACTTCCTCATATGGTGGTCAAGCTAATGTTCACATTATCCATATAAGAAATTTATCGATTACTAAAGCCATGAAGTCTAATATGTTGTTTCTTAGCATAATTACTCTTTTTCAAAACGAAGACATTAGTGGATAAGAACTTTATAACTCTTCCGAAGCCTGTGTTCATTCTAATAAGTTTCTGCGTCCATGTAGTAGAATTCCTTCAAACTAAGCGAACTCCAACTTTTCCACGCGCTTGTTCTTTTGCAAGATTACTTCCTACCCTTATTGACGCACATATCACAAAATTGTTCAAAATACTGTGTGAAAGAAAACTCTTTTGATAGCTCTTACTTTTTTCTTGTCTGAACCTATCTTTTTAATCATTTAGTTATTGATGCTCTGCTCACATGGTATACTGTACGTGCTTATATGCTGTTTACAGGCTTGTAAACAGCATACAAGAAAACAATTTTTTATGTTATAGCTTTTTTCGTTAAATTTACTATGAATATAAGAAAAGTTCATTTTTATAGAAATGATGAATGTAGGGGACTCTGCCCAAATTAAAGGATGCTCAACCAAGACAAGATACTTAGAAACCTCCACGGGGAGCTCATCCGTTGATTCTATACTGGGCACCGGTCTGCCTAACACAAGCATTTACATTGTGGATGAAGTCAAATCGAGAGTATATGCTCCTACATTAGCGAAATATTTCTTATCTGAAGGAGTTCATAACGATCACGATATACTTCTTGCTGGTCCTGCTGCTCAGTGTACAGATTTATTGAATAATCTGCCGACAAAGTGTGAAACCTCAACTAGCTCTTCTACCCCTTCGACACCATCTTCATCTACATCAGGGCCGAATAGTTCTATGAAAATCGCCTGGAGATATGAGGCAGTTGGAAAAGTTGATTCATCTATAGGAGGGAAATGTTCTTATGACTTGCAAAAGCCTTTACAATCTCTGACCAGTTTTGGATCAAACATCATTCAACTACCAGCGACCAAAGAGGTTGAGCTTACGTACTCTGACACATTGAAAGCAATCAAGGAACTATTGAAATCGGAGAAATATCAGAAAACAAGAGCTCCTGGAAAGAATTTACTAAGAATTGTTTTAGTTTGCGTGGGTTCTCCGTTTTGGACAGATCCAGAAAACTTCAGCTCTTTCTTGGCTGAACTTCAACTTATAATTCGCAACTCATACTGCGTAGCATTGATTACCACAAACTCCTCTTCTCTTCCAGAAGATAAAGTCAGAGAATTAGAAGTAACTTCTGATCTTTATTTCCGCCTACAAGCCATAACTGACGATGAACGTAAGACGATGCCTGGTATGGACAAGTTGCATGGATATTTTCAAATTGTAAGTACGGTTACGATATTATCAAATTAATTTTTTTCCCCAGATACGTTTACCAACTTTGATATCACCAGCGTTTCCTCGACCTCCGGCTATTGATCTTGGTTTTGAACTTCATAGAAAAAGTTTCTCAGTTAAAGTTATACACTTGCCTCCCGCTCTAGGAGCTGAGCCAACGCCCTCAACGGGTTGCAAAATAGATTTTTAAGAATACTTGTCGTTTTATTTGTTCGAATTGTTCTCGTTGTTTATGTATCTAAACGTTGTCATTGTTAAAAAATAAATTTTTATAGGCTATGACTGTGCGGTTTCTGAAGTCTCTTGTATTAATGGGCAATAGCTATGGCCAAAGACTTGCATCTTCTGTGGCTGATCAGACAAGTTGTTCCATTCAGTTTCACTGGTATTTAAATATCCTTATAGGTGTTTTCCGTGAACAATTCACATTGCCGTCAACTTTCGATTTTCGTGTTTGGTTCCCTATGCATATGTCAGTACAGTTAAAGAAAATGGAAGGAAAACTCAGAACTGTTGATTTGATAATCGAGGTCTCATACAGTTTTTAGAAATTGATCATCTGCTCTATAGGTCCATGACGCTCGAGTTCCTATCAGTGGCAGAAATCCTCAGTTTTATAACAAACTGTATGGAGTTAGGCCTCATATACTGGTACTGAACAAGAGAGACTTAATTGACTTGAAGAAATATAAGTGAGGCGACGAAGCTCAGTGTTATGATGAACTTTCTCTTTCATTTCTTCAGACGTCCTATCGAAGAATACTATGCTGAGCAAGGTGTTCAAACTATTATTTGGACTGATTGTAAGCGACGACTTAGCAAGACTTTGCATGGTGAGTTTTTCTAACGTTATACCACAAAAGCTCTTCAAGAACTTAGAACTAAAATGGTAGAAATGCTCAACGAAACTCAAAGGTACAATAGAGAGGTGAAAACAGAGTATCAGGTGAGTTCACAAATCCGTAGCTTAATTATTTATATTCCTGTATTCTAGATAATGGTTGTTGGAATACCCAATGTTGGAAAGTCATCTTTGATAAATTCTCTACGCTCCACTAACCTAGGAATGAAACATAATGCTGTTGTTGAAGGTATTCGAAATCTGCTCTGAGAAACGGCGATTACTATGAACGAAACACGATATTAATATTCATATCATGCTTCGTTTTGTTTCTTGTTTGTTCGCGCAAGAAGCGGTTGTTCACGAGCTACGTTTAACTCCTTTAGGTGCTCGGCCGGGTGTTACTGTGCGTGTTCAGAATCGAGTGAGAATATTAGATAAGCCTTCTGTATACATATTGGACACCCCTGGTGTTTTATGTCCGTCTCATCGGAACGTTGACGAGGTAATAACGAATGACTTTTTTGAGTTTCACAACTGTTGTATTCAAGGCTATGAAGTTAGCGCTCTGTGACTTAATTCTCGAGAGTCAAACTAGTCCACACCATGTAGCTGATTATCTTCTATACTGGTTAAATAAGTGAGTTTTCTTACATTAGCACCTACCATATAACAACATATTTGTTAAGAAGAGAAGATTTCTCCTATTTGAACCTACTAGGTATTGACGGAGAGCCCACAGATGACTTGAATCGCCTCTTATTACGAATCTGTGCAGCACATGTGAGATGAATATCCTCGTGCATATGTTTAACTTCTTTACAGGATTTACGTGTGAAACGACTAGTAGGTTCGGAATACGCTGAACGTTGGGATATGGAAAGAGCAGCAAACATGCTGGTCACTTTATTTAGGAAAAACAAGTTGTCGGATTGTTGTCTTGATCACGATTTGCTCAACAGGGGTTATTAATAGGCTAAGACAGCTTATAAACTATTTTTGTCTCTAAAGTTCTAGTAATATAAGCATATCTAACTGTTTGTAGTGAGGAAGAGAAATTGTGTCGATGTTCCATCTTTGCAGTTGTGATGCCATAATCTTTTTAAAACCATAAGCTTCTTAGCTTCTCACGCCGTTAAAGGTTAGAAGAGATCTCTTTGTTTAAGTCTGCATCGGGTTTAAAACCGAAGATTCGCTGATTGATCTGCCTGTTTTGGATGCGGAAGTTCGGTGCTTCAAATAACTTTCACGAAATTTGCTCAGTCAATTTTTGCCATCGTCCTTGTCGATGTGTTTTCTTAACTATGCTGATAATCTGGCATTGTAACCGATTGTTACAATCATGACAAAACTGTTTATGTGACCTTCGTTTATTTCTGAAAAGGCCGGTATTAAATATTGTTCGAAATTATGCAGTAATATTAATGAATTAGTTGGTTGACGTTCAGATTATTGATGTTTAAGCTTCTGTTGAACCAGTCTCTGTGATGCTTGATGCCTACATAAGTTTCCAAATTACTATCTTATCGAAAACTCATGGAAGTACCAGAATGATGAAGTTTTCCCATCTGCTTCTTCATGCAGTGTGATTATCTTTCGGATCGGAGGGTTTAGCACCTGATTTTCAAATATTTCCGTTACCAGATTACTTCAACTGTCTATGCAGCAGTAGGAGGCCGTTATTAGATTGGTAAAGCTTTGTTATTTGACCAACGACGTTCGAACTGACCTTCGGTGACGCCTATGTGTAGAATTTCAAATAGTCATGGAAATACCGGTTGTCGTGTTAGCATCTGGGAACTGATATTAAAGCAAGTGATGCGATTATAGAAGAAAGTATCAACCTTATTTTACGATGTTAGTGAGAAGAATGCTGTGCTTAGTGTACCTAACGACGATGATTGCGCAATGGAGAAACAACTTGAAAGTACTACACGTTATAAGCTTTAAGTGCTCGTTTTTACTTAGTAATAGTTGCCGGAAGAAAATTGAAACAGGCTTCTGAGGAAGCAACAGCTGAGGGAAATGGCTAGCTATAATCAGTCCTTCTACACTCCACCTAGTACAGGTTACTCATTTCTCTTTCTCTTTGCTTCCAACTAGTCATCTAAGAAATGTCAGCGATTGACAATTCTCTGTGGAGGGCAAAAACCATCAGAATTCATTATAACTTGACATGGGCGTCTATGCAGTAGTTGAAATATTTTGTTTTCTTACAAGTAATTAGACAAAAAATGATCGACAAAGGGAACTATCGAACGAAGCATATGATTGCAAACATACGTTTCCATACGGTCAGTACTCATGCTTACTCGACGAATTCGTAGAGAGGGGAGATGATAGGGAAAAAGTACCCTAACACATATAAATTTGTACAAGACGTTTAATGCCGAAAGCCCAAGTGTCTGCTTTTTCAGCCCATAGACGTTCTGATCTGAAAAGGAAATTCTGCTCGCCTCACTAGCTTCTTCACGTTCCTCATGAATTCTTCCTTCTTTCTCTTTTCTATGTATCGTCCCAGAAAACCATGTATACCAGACTTCAAAAGCATTGGATGGTGAGGCTGTGGAGTCCAGAAACAGCCATTGCAGAGAACCAGTTTTCTCGCGTGGTTTGATTCCATTGGCTTCCGTACGTCTTCTCAAGGTGCCGAAGACGTTCGAATTAGCATAATGTGCTTCGCGTCAGTTTTTTCCCAATGGAAACTCATAGCATGTAGCTGAGACAGCTGGTGAAAATACTTTCTCCAATCACCTTTAAGGTTAAAACATATTGAGCGTCTGAAAAGGAAGTAGTTATAATATGAGAACTTTTACAGTATTTCTACCTAGAAGAGATGTGAGTTCAAGTTGTTCGTGAAACTTTAAAATGCAAAGAAGTAAATTGTCAGTGATGAGTTGCCAATAAGGAAGCTTCTTTAGGCAATAGTTTGTGGGATCGGTTTGCATGAGATTAGGACATATTTGTAGGTGTTGCAACGCAAGAAGTTACGATGTAACGTGATATTAATAGTATCTATGGATTGTCAGAAGTTTTGAAGAAAGAACGGCAACTTGTGCAAAACCCACTCAAAGCCCGACAGACTTTACGGAACTTGATGCCAAAACTGATAAGCTAGCTGACAACGAAACCGATACCGTTTATGAATATAGGTACTTGATAATCTTTTGACTTCCTGACATCTCCTGCTTTTCAATTATGTTTCATTCCTCTTATTTTTATGTCATTCTCCTTTTGGGGGCGTGGCTGACTTGAGGATGCTGACTATAAAAGAGAGACGAAGTCTACATAAATCTAACACAACCTCAAGCAACAAAGAAATATCTTCTCTTCCTTGCTTACATAGCAACTTTTCCTTTTAATATAAATTTTAATTTTCCGTTTTCGTTTAATAGAATAATTTTGACAATTAAATGTTGTTTAGCCCTTCCAACTCGAACGATGACGGAGGACATCAAGAGACTCGAGGCTGAGGCCGTCTCTCTCCGCAAGTAAGTTTCTTCCTGAATATTTGTTAATCGAACATTGGTTGTTCATAACTTTTGAAAATTGAAAACAATCCCAACAATCAAAGAACAAACCGCAGAATTTCGATACTCCAATTATTCGATGTTGCAACCGAAGCTCTTTCTCTCATCATAAGGTGTAGCATCTGCTTAAAACTGAAATGTTTCAAGCAGCACCTGACTATTCAATTGTTGATAATGATATCATATAACTAAATCTTCCAATACCTTAAATGCGAAAACTCAATTGTTACTAATTAAGGGTTGCCTTCTTTGGAGTTGCTATCTCCACTATGGCCACACTTGTCTGCGTTGTCTCAGTTCCATTACTCTACAACTACATGCAACACATGCAATCAGTTATGCAAACGTAATAATTTTTACATTAAAAGGGAAAATCAATCGATTTTTTACTTTTTCAAAACCACTGAATCAAGCATATTCTCTTTTTTTTTCAGTGAAGTTGACTTCTGCAAATCTCGTTCTGGAAATATTTGGAAGGAAGTCACCAGAACCCAGGTAAACTACTATAATATCATTGAAAATGTCTGAGAAGGACACATCGGCCCTCAAGCCGAAATGGTTCATCAAAGATAACCGCCGTTAACCATGCATGAAGTTGACAACCATACCTAAGTATTCTTGAGAACCTGCCGGATGAGGGCTAAGTGTTGTACGAAGGCAACATAACTACAATAGCATAATTAGGAATTGCCGGCTTCACAAGAGGCATTCCACCTTTGTAAAAGAAACAGTAGAGAAGGTATTTTCGACATAGTTCCTTCGTCCGCCAAATTGAATTTGGCCATGAGATTTGCATCGGCGAAAAGCTGCTAAACTATTTGATCAGAATTGCTTTTGTCGAATTTCTACTTAAGGCGATTCTTTGATCCTTCTTGAACGTTCAGTCTCCCTACCCTCAATTAAAGGTGGCTTTCAAGGGATCCTTCAAAATTCCCGAAACAGTCTTTTGCTTACATTTGTTCAGTCAACCAAAGAATTTTGCAGCCTCTCATCATTTCAGAATCCGTTGTTTAGCCTGTTTGAAGCTTATTTTTGTCTCTTCCGATCCTTTTAGTCAAAAAGCTTGTCAGCGAATTTGAGAAAGTTAGGTAATAATTACGTGTCGCCAACTAGCTATGCATTTACAATAATTCATCAAAGCGACACATTTCGCCTTCGATTCCTGTAAAGATGCAACTCATGTTTTCGAACCTGAAACTTAATATCTTATTCTCTTTCTAAAAAAGTGGAAATTAGTTCTTTTTCTGCAGTTCAGTAATTTTACTCGAACTTCTGTAACTAGTTGAAGCATTTTAATTCTTTATACTGGATTATATCTGATTGCCATTTTCCCATTGCTACCAGACCACCGATCGTAGTTCATACGTCATCAGATCTCAGAACTTTGAGACAAGTTCTTCAACTTACCAGAAGATCCGGATGAGATGTCATTTTCTTATCTATGAGAGAATTATATCCGGTCTATTACCGATTTAACATACCAAAAACTTTGAAAACCTAACATTAAAAGAATTTCTTTCATTCTACTTGTTCCAATGCCAAAACCGGACCTTAAAGTTCTTTTATACTTTTTGCCACCTTCTCGCTAGCAATTACACCAGTTACCCGATTTCACTCCAAAAAAATAGCAATTATGTGAATAAGACATCATTATTCCTTTTGCAGGTCTTAGCTAGAGTCTCCGGCGGAGCCGTTCGTAGCCGTCGTCAAGCCGGTTACACCAGTGAAGGTGTAGAAGGAAGTTCTTATCAAACTGGCGGAGGATGCTGCGGTTGCGGAGTCAGCGCACAAGGACCACCAGGACCACCAGGAGATGATGGAAGTGATGGATCTGATGGAGAACCAGGAGTTCCAGGACGCGACGGACCAGATGGATACGGACCACCACCAACCCAAGCTTACGTCAACTGGTGCTTCGAATGCGACACTGCTGCCCCAGGACCAGCCGGAAACCCAGGACCAAAGGGACCTAACGGAAACCCAGGAGCTCCAGGAAAAGATGCCGATGGAGGAAGCCGCGGACCACCAGGACCACCAGGACCACAAGGACCACCAGGATCAGACGGACAACCAGGAAACGGTGGAGCTCCAGGAGCCCCAGGACAAGTCCGCGATGTCCCAGGCCCACAAGGACCACCAGGACCAGCCGGACCACCAGGACCAGGAGGACCAGACGGATTCCCAGGAACACCAGGAAACCCAGGATCCGATGGATCTCAAGGACCACCAGGAGACAACGGATCCGATGGACAACCAGGACAACCAGGAGGACCAGGAGAGAATGGTCCAGATGGAGATCAAGGACCATCCGGAGGTTGCGACCACTGTCCACCACCACGTACTGCTCCAGGATATTAAACCATATCAAGAGTCAGAAATTCATAGCCATTCCGCTAATATATTTACTTATCACAATTCTTGTTATGTTTTTTTCAATGAATTTTCATTTTTCACTCAATTCTCAATGATAATGCGCAAAAGAATAGAAGCAAGAGGTTTTCAAAGACTGAATGTCTTCACTACAGTCTTCTATGCGAAGCAAATAAAATAAAACTGATTCACTCATTCAACAGTATCGAAAATACCATCTACTTCTACATTCGATTATCGTTATCTTGCATGCGGGTGCATCAAACTCTACTCATCATGAGACGAATCAAACGCATCATTATTAAACTGTACCTGGACGAAAACAAAAATGTCCCTTATTGTCAACAAAAGAACTATTGAAGCAATGTTTTCTCTCAATAGTTTACGTGGAAAGTAAGTGAAAAACATGCGCATGTATAAGATCTAGAAAGTTCCATTTCGACAAACAAGACACCTAGAGCGGTTGAACAGGGAAAGTTGTTCATAAGTATAGGCAGGTTATTCATTATATCAACCTTTAAGCTGCACAAAGTTGCAATATATCAAAACTAAATTGAGCAACTCCATGATTACAAGTTATATAATCTCTTCGGGACCTAATGATTACATTGAAATATCGCATGAAGGCAAGCGGGAAAGAGTAATGTTTTTGAAAGATCATTGGAATATTAGATAAAGTCAAGTTTAAAACCAAAACATGACAGGCTCTTCTTCGGTTTTCGTTCTTATCCTCCTCATCACAAACACCTTCATTTTAATATAATTCTTTTCGTAAATAGTTCCGAAATGGTGGAGAGTTATATATTAATACAAACATGGTATTTCTGAAGTGATATAGATTCATCATCAGCAAGAGTTGAACTGATCTTCTCAAGACTTATCACAAAATATGAACATTTATCATTACATATGATTAAACAAGAGTAAAGGTTCTAATCTGAGATCCAGTCATGAGAGGCTTTCTTTTTCTGTTCAACTCGAAAATACTTGGATCTTTCGAACAAACGAAAGTAAGTTGTATTTATCAATTGTTACCACATTGCGTACGTACGTAACTTTTCACAATGCAATGCTGACATCCGATTCGATCAAGCTTGAAGAACTTTCGGATGAAAAATCTTGAATATTCAATTATTGTACGTACTTCAACATCTTGATCAAACTATCAGTAACTAGCATAATCAATGTCCATCCCAAAAGAGTTTTATTTTGTTATCGTCGGCCACAATGATCAGCCTTTGTTTGAGATGGATTTTCCTATAGGGGAAAAGAAAAAGAGGGAAACAGAAAACAGGTGAAATCATTTCGATAATCTTATCCTGACAGTAAGAATTCAGGCACTTAAACCAATTTATAGCTCATGCATCCCTGGATATAGTCGATGAGCATACTTTATCAAATAACCAAATGTATTTAAAGGTTAGTCTTACTAGATTATGACATGAATCGGGTATATTACAGACAATTGACAAATTTAATGAGTGGTACGTGTCTTCTTTTGTATCTGCTGGCAGAATTCGGTTTCTTATGCTCCACACTCATAGATGTGATGAAGGCATCAAGCAATTCTTCCAGGTTCTATTAATTGCTTATTGGAAGTAACATATCGTTTCAGGAAATGTACGAGACCTATATCAAGCATTCCATGAACCCTTTTTATGAAATTAACTCCCCGATTAAGTCTACGGCTTTTGACCAGAAAGCTACGATATACGGTCGTAAATATCTTGTTTGAGACAATTTTTAATTCATAAGACTATTTATTCTTTTTTCATTTTATCAATCGGAAATGATGACAAATAAAGTATATTTTACCAATAGAGCATGGCACGTGAAAAGCAGATAATATCGATTAATCGATTCATGACTCAGCACAATAAAATACAAGCGGATGAGCTAAGCGCTGCCGTTTAATGTTTACAAAACCTAGAACCTCATGAACCTCCTCTTGTCGTTTTGCTTATGCTTTCAAATTCAAAAATGTAGTTTGTTTACTACCAAGTTAGGCAAAAGTCGCGCTCTAAACTAGCAGTTTTGACTCAATCTTCAGTCTTATTGATTTTTTCGAAAATGCTTATCAAATTATTAGTAAGGTTGTGCAGATACCTCTCTGAAAATTCAAACTGTAATTGCTTCTCTTCGTGTTGATGCTTTTTTAAGAATAAATATATATTTAGTAACGTTTTATTTTTACAGTATTGACCATGTGCAAGATTGTTTTAACATTATTAGCTCTCATAGCTCCTGTAAGTTTTAACTTGACTCAACCACTCGTTTACATTTTTTTTCATTTTTATCAAACTTTTTAAGCCTATTGCCGTTCTCTTCCAAGAAGGATGTACGTGCAATCTTCTCATCAACTTTCTCCTGACATTATTGGGAGTAATCCCAGGTACATTGTTGTTTTCTTTATTGAAGTTATTTATTCAAAATTTCAGGAGTAATCCACGCTTGGTATATCCTCTGGTGCTATGAACCACAAATTGTTAACCACACCACCACCGTTTATGTACAAGGTCGTAACGATGCTGTGAGTTTAAAATTTCGAAATCACAGAATGATTTAATTGATTTTTCAGCCTCCTGCTTACCAATAAGTGCTGAGACTGTTCGTGTTTGATTGCCGTTCCCGTTATTAATTCCATTACAAATGTGTTGTTGCAATGAGTCGAGAAGCATATCTCACTTTAACTTATGCTATTACTTTTCTATTCAGACAATAAAGAATTTATTCCCTTCAAATTAGCAGATGAATAGTGGTTCAAAAGCGTTTATCATACTAAAGACAACATGTGTGTCTGACAAAGGAGCTTTGCTCTTCGAAACTTTTCGAAGTTTCTTCGGAATGTAAAAGGACTAAATGACAAAAGTATCACATTAGCCGTTGCTTCGCCTGCATTGATCAGTGATTCTTCCTGCACTAGGGAATATGCTTCCAATGAAAACCTGCATAAATGCTCATAAATTCAAATTCACCCCCAATAATACCTTATTATTTTGTGTCAAATCATAACTCGTGATTGATAATGGGCAACCGTCGACTTCGACCTTAAATTCGAAATAATCGTAATCAAATTGATAAAACATCATCATACATCACAAGTTGATCGCCCCCTCCTAGTCAAAAAGCACATTGTGTATAGGGCCATGTCAAATTCAGGTGAAGTTCCAATGAGGAAACTACCAGACCGTTTGAGTTCGCTCTGCCATTGGAATTTTACAGCAGCCATCAGATTCTAAACTATTAGTCATCACACAATAGAAATCTCTTGAACATACGAAGCGTTTCACAATGAATCCTTTGTAATCAAAACTTTCTTTAGGATCGGTTTCTAGTTTGGCAAATCTCACCCAATTATGCATTCCGGAGATTTCTCCATTCTTGGCCTAAAACAAAATGTTTCACGAACTTTAGAATTGAATTACCTCTCCAATGAACACATGCTCAAATCCAGAAGTATCGGCAAGCCCTCTTGCTCTAGAATAATGGAAGAACCACAATTGAGATATCCAAAAACGCCAAGTCGATGAATCTTTGGCAAAAGGATGGCCTGAATGAGAATCAACATTCTTCAACTCATATCACAACCATACGTTTGGCTTTGAAGAAGCTGTATAACTCTTGGAATGGACGTGTGTTCAAAACGGCAGTCAGGAAATCTTCAATCTCATTTTTCTCCTTCAAACATGTTTCGTAATTGGTAGATTGCATATATATCCATACCTCATTTAACGAAACACTAGGTTCTTTCACTCCCGTTTGACGGATAAAATTATTGAAGAGAGCAATGAGCTTTTCATACGTAGGTTTTCGAAAAAGCGACGAATCAACTTTCTTGAATAATCTAAAGAGAAAGTAAACACAAATGATGTGATTCGAATTCTTGTCATCATAATCGTTAGTTAATGTTTATGTTCATTATACTCACTTATTTTGAGCATTATCTGAATTATCCCTGGTATTTGTGTGTCCCTGATAATCAAGAAGAATCTAAAATGAGTTCTTTGATTAAACAGAAATTTTTAGACGACATTTGGTTAAAGATCAACAACAAACTACAAGTACCTGTCCAGGTTTAGCACGGTTATCATCTACTGCGCGAAGTTTCGCAGACATGTCTAGTAATTCCTTATCACTCACGGTGATGTCTTAATGAAAAAATGAAAAACAGATTAAAATAGAAATTCATGAATACCTGGCATTCGTTGGCAATTAATGACGCCAATTACCAGTAATGAGAAATGCAATAGACCACGCATCCTGTAATAGTATGAAAGTCAAGAAAAACTAGACGGAAGGAAAGGCTTTGACAGAAGCTTAAGAGAAGGAAACATGGTTCTGAGAGTCTTCGAATACCCTAGGGAAACTACTTCTTTTTAAAATGCTTCTTTCTTCTAATCTTGGTCACTCAAACAAACGGATAGGCATAACGCAAAAGGCTTGAAATTCGTGACATCGCAAAATAACATAAAGTGTTTCAAAACGAAAAGTTGATGAGGCAAATCAATAAAACAATCTCGTGGACGTTATGAGAAATGTGTCTTGTTCAACAAACTTCCGTCAATAGCAGAATACAACGGTAAGGGAATAAGCGGCACTGGGAAGAAAAAACCGGTTTGATTAATAAAAACAATAAGATTTAATATTAACATGAAATCCCATATTGAGACATAATCGAAGTTATCAAATTTTTAAATCAAAAATTGGTTTCTGTGCTTGATGGGTAGAATCTTGATAAAGAATTTCAATGACCAACAACAACAATTGCGTTATACATCTATTTTAACAAATAGTTCACCCTTTGTCAGCGGTTTGATTTCCTCCACCACATAAGTATAACGAGGAACTGCCTGTCTACGAATCTGCGAGAGGAATGCTATTATTGTGTGTCAAAAAAAAAGAAACCAGCCAATAGGTGATAACAGTTATAAAGAGAATTGAATGCAGAGCAATCCCAATCAATACCATGTAGGAACTGATCAACTCAGATTTGTTACCAGGGCTCATGAATTTCCTCAATAGCTGGTTCCACCCCTTCAACAATTTTAATTAATCGAAGAAATTCAATTTCAAGACGCACCATCGTTTTTGATGAACTAAATTCAGTGCTACAAACCCAAAGAGCAACCGGTCTTGTGATGAAAACTTTGAAAATGAACTGTCGAAAAGGCACCGCCTGCCTCGTATAACGTGAGTAATATTATTAGTTCTGTGTTATTCATGAAGATATAATGTGATCATAACATTTATTAGATCGAAAAAAGGAAAAGGAATTAATAACCGGAGCTTCAAAAAATACATGTGTGTACATAGTAAAATTAACAAATGGGAACCAGCCGGTACCCGTGGAAAAATATTCGCAAAGCACAGTGTGAGTGAGTAAAGGAAGTCTAAGTAGGCTTCCTCCAAGAAAAGAAGGAATAAATATTTTATATTATGTGTAAATGCTTTTTTTGAACCTATGTACTTTTCATACAGACCTACAGGAATGTTATGTACTCCTGGTATCTAAAACAGGGTAACCACGATCAACGCAAACTTTTAGGCAGGGAAGAGCAGAGAGCAATCCTTTAGAAGGAGAATTGTCTTATTTGTTCATCTTTCTGGGAAACTATTTCCTTCAGGGTTCGGACTTCTTCACGAAGTTTCGCGTTCTCCTTCAATATCTCTTGATTTTGTCTGGCGAGGGAGATTTTCTCATCAATGCATTTCTGCTGTTCGCTTTTTTGCTGTAAATCAAATATGAGTAAAAAGGGTAATAAGAAAGCAATTTACCTTGCAGCGACTTTTACGAACAGCGTCATTGTTCTTAGCTCGTTTCAAACGATACTCCTCTGTAGCCTTCTCCTTCTCATTCTTCAATACATATCGACGAGCACGAGTTTTTGGTGTGAAATTATCGGCATCGATCGAAGAGTTTCGGTGGTTTCTAGCACGGCGGTTAGGTCTGGCAACAACTTCATCATCATAAGGTTTTTCTAGAAAATGAAAGATAATATAACCTTAAGGAGAAATAACATACCTTCTTCATACTCCTGGATCTCTTGTTTGATTTGTGGAGTTGGAACGTTAGCAGTAGCTGGAACAGACACATGGGTTTGGGACCGATCTGATGTGTCATAGCTGGCTGTATCGTAGTCAATATTCGAATCAATCTCCTGGAAACTATCTGAAAAACCATAATGAAACAAAAGTATCACATTGAAAAACTGACTTTCGAAAACCTCGGGTCCGAAAGAATAATCTCCGTGCTTAAGATAGTCATCCATATCGTACTCATGTTCGGGGAAGCAGTCTTTTCCAATTTCCTAGAGAACAACAGAATACTAAGAAAAAATTCAGGTTAAAAACAACATACCATTCCTTCGTTTCTTATGTAATCACAAATTACAATCTGTTTATCCATAAAGTTTATCATGTTGCAGCTATGGTCACGCTCTTGGAGAGAAGCAGCTTCTGCCAGAGAATCCTAAACACTAAGGATCAAAGCGCGAACTCGTGATGAGTCAGATGTATGACTAATATTTTTAGATAAGATAGAAAGTTCTGGAGAGGTATGAAAAAAAAAAAAACTACTAACCTGACGATTGAAATTGAATCCGTCAGAAGGGTTTCTGACAACGCCATAAGGCGTTTCGTTGTCTTGGAGATGTGAATTATAATTATAATTGTCGCTATACATAGCTGAAAAAAGTTAATGATGAAAGTATTGAAGCCATGACAAATCAATCGAAGAAAAAACAAAAGTAAAGAATATTTATAAACTCTTAAATTGTTCACGCTTCTCGAAGCTGCACACAAGAACAATAAGCTCGCACTGGTTATGCACATCAGTTAGCTAACGATGACATAGGATTGCGAAATATATTTGTGAGTCATAGCTCCGCCCTCTGGGGCGCAATTGGTCTTGAATGGAAAATCGAGAAAATAAATGGCTTTCGCCGTTTGCTTATAATTTGAATTTTGAAAGGAGTAACCTCTTTTAACTGAATGAAAATTACAAGTATATAGAAACATAGTTAGAATACAAGAATTATTTAAATAGTAGGTGATGAAAATACAAATATTACATTACGGCTTCTTTATTTATAGGTATTTACTTCAAACCAGTGCTATCTCCGAAATATTTAAACGGTAATGAATTTCAAATGATTTAAAAATAATTTTAGTACTATTAAAGAGTATGATTAATAGAATTCCTCTACCCATTGATGATGTTGAACAGCAAATTATTGAAATTTTAACAGAAAGCGAGTCCTCCATTATTATAGGAGAGACTGGATCTGGCAAAAGTACACAAATTCCACAAGTTAGTATAGAAGTTAATAGCGCAGTTTAATACTTGTTTCAGTTATGTGCTAGAGCAGGCTTACTATCAGAAGGTAGAGTTGGCATCACTCAGCCTAGACGAGTTGCGGCTATATCACTAGCGCACAGAGTAGCGGAAGAAGTAGGAAGTACCGTGGGAGAGAAGGTAGAATTCAAAGGAAATTTAAAAAGAATTAACCCCCAACCAAATCAGGTTGGATATCATGTACGCTTCGAAAAAATGTATAACGATAACACGGAGATATGTTACATGACTGATGGTATACTTTTAAGAGAGGCGATGCAGGTAGGTACAAGATGGTTCACATACAAATTATGGAAACTTTCAGGATCCATATCTGTCAGAATATTCTGTAATACTGATTGATGAAGCACATGAGAGAAGTTTACATACAGATATCATGTTAAGTAAGTTGAATGAGAAATAACTCAGAAGGACACGTCTCATAGGTGTTCTACGTATATGTCAACGTCAGCGTAAGGAAAAGGGAGCCAATCCCCTTAAAATTGTTATTATGTCTGCGACTATGCAAGCTGATCTATTTTCAAAATATTTCAATAATGCTCCTATATATGTTATCAAAGGAAGAACTTTCTCAGTCGATGTTAGTTTCTCAAGGAAGAAATAAGTGTAAAGGTTTTCATATTTGAGGTTTATCATGCTAACAGCATTGATCCTAAATCGGCTGATTATGTTTATAATGCTATCATCTGTATTAAGGACATTCATGCCACTGAACCATTGACGTGAGTTTCGAGTTGCAAAGTTCTCTTCAATGTGTGTTATCTTAGAGATGACGTATTGGTTTTTCTGACAGGAAGAGAAGAAATTGAAATGGCGGCCCGGAAGTTGAGAGAGCTGAATATGGTTCGATGCACAAATGTAAATAATCAAGTTTTAATTATACAATCAGGAACTGACTAACAAGTTATTCCCCGTTCCTCTTTTTGCTGCTCTGACGGGAGCTGCTCAAATGAAAGCTTTCAAGCCTGCTCCAGAGGTATTATGGAAATTGATTAACACAAAACACATATAATGTTAGGGTCAACGCAAAGTTGTGCTAGCTACAAATATCGCTGAAACTTCTCTTACAATACCCGGTATTAAAATTGTCGTGGATTCCGGAAAAGTCAAAAGCAGGTATGACTGTTCATATGTATGTAGTTTGTTCACTAAGTTTATAGATCCTTCACAGCCAAAACTAAAATTGATGTTTTAAAAGTTCATGACATCAGTCAAGCGCAAGCTGTGCAACGATCAGGTAGAGCTGGCCGTGAAGCACCGGGAAAATGTTATAGGCTTTATCCTGAATCGCATTATGATCAAATGGAGGCAACAAGCATACCAGAAATACTTAGAAGCAATTTATCTGCGGTTACCCGGGAATAATGGTGTAAATTACTTTTTCTTCACTTTTCAGGTGATACTAGAACTTTTATCTATGGGTTTGAAAAGGCCAAGAAATTTAAAATGGATTGAACCTCCTTCAGAGGACAGTATCCTTGCGGCTGAAAAAGAGTTGCTGGTAAATAAATGCACATATCTCCCATTTTAAATCACGTTTACATTCAGGCTTTAGGTGCTATCAAACTACACAAAAAAATCACAAAATTAACCGAAGAAGGTAGAAAGATGTCTAGGTTCCCCTTGGACCCAGAGCAGGCTAAGTAAATCGTTTCATAGTATTTTGGACCATATTAACATTTTCAGAGTATTATTGTATGCTGCGGAGCTGGATTGTCTAGAGGAAGCGCTATCAGTGGTATCCATGATGTCTATTGAAAGTGTTTTCGAGTTCGACTGTAAGGGAACACCTGAAGAAATTGAGAGAGCTAGAAATCGGTATTTTATTAGTCATTCTTTCTTGGCAACCTTCATGTTAGATTCACAACAAACGAAGGAGACCATTTGACGTTCTTGAATGTATATCAAGCATTTTCACAAGAAAAAAGAAAAAATAAAGGAAAATTAAAGGTTTGATAATTTTTTTTTATACTCATGAACAACCAACCGATCTTCACCTGAACTAATTCTTAAATGTATGTTCAGCTTTGTTTTTGAATTATCGGCGTCAACATACAGACTACGCTAATTTTGAGCGCTCAGACTGAAGTTACATTTGCAGGAGTGGTGTAGTGCAAACTTTTTAAGTTTGAAAAATTTAACAACAGCAGCGAAGATTAGGAAGCAATTACGTGAAATATGTTCCGGTGAAAAGCTTCAAGTCAAATCATGCGGAGCGAATAGGGATAAATTAAGGTTCTTATTAAACGGATTATATTTTTTATACCTCGTGCACTATAGACAAGCTCTTGCTTGCGGCTTATTCATGAATGTTTGTGAGTACAATAGACAAGACGATCGTTATAAGTTAATCATCCGTCCTGCAACAACTATTAAAATTCACCCAGCTTCAACATTATCAAGGGTTTGTTACTGAAAACATGTTGCTTACAAATTTTTTAATTTCAGTCGAAGCCTACTCACATAGTGTTTTCGGATTTAGTCAAAACAACGGATTTATACGCCAGGTTGGGTGAATTTGAAGTAATTTGTGATTTTTCCGTTTTTTCCAGAAGTATTACAATAATAGACTCTGAATGGGTTCGGCCAGTTTTAGAGAAGTATAAGATCACTCAATGAAAAGTTTTGGCAATTTTTTTTTACATTTTCGATTTGATACTTTGAGATGCATTGTTGTCTGTTTAAATGTTTCGAATACCTCATACAATTTTTAGATCTTTCAGCAGGATGTGTTGCCAGCATCTGATAACTTGTTATAGAATATCTTACATGTGATTGTCATTGACATTTTTCATTTTCATTTCTCATGGGAGTTTGTTGTTATTGTTATTGATTATTTTATGATTGTTGTCTTACGTTTGTAAGAAATGAACCTTATGAAAACTTGTCATTCCATTAGTATGTAGATGCCAAGGTTACTCCGGAGTTCATTAGTACTCCCAAGATGTCCTTGGCTTCTCTCTTCTGGTTCATCTGGGGTAATCGATCTGTCCCGTATCATTCCTTCACATAGTACCTATTAACCAGTTGGATCAACAACACCACCATGAACCAATCAGATGAAGAAAAAGAGCAGCTTCTGAAGAAACTCGACGAGTTCCATGCGGGGAATCACTCCTCCGAGGTTGTTTCATTTAGTAATCATTTTTCAATCAAAGTTTAGAGAGATGATTTTGATCATAAGGTTTTTCGTTCACTTTTCAAACAATTTTTGACTGAGGATGCTCATATCGATTGGAATAGCTGGAAGTTTATTTCAGAAGATGTTCAGAAAAACTTGAAGGATCTTCCGTCATATACGGATGAATAGTAAAATATTAGTTCATCGAACCTGATAACGTTTTGTATTGTAGCAAAAGCCTCTTAGATCGGTTAGTTGTAATCAAACTGAATGGAGGTTTGGGAACAACAATGGGATGTAGTGGCCCCAAGTCTTTGATCGAAGTTAAGGATGGTAAAACTTTCCTGGATATCGCAATTAATCAGCAAGAAGTAAGCCAATCATTAAAAAAACACTCATACAATTGTTTCAGCTTTTCAATAAGAAATACGAATGCCATGTACCTCTCTATCTTATGAACTCATTCTATACAGAGGAAGCTACAAAAGAAAAGCTGCCAGCTTGGGTTCGAACTTTTGTTCAATCTAAATGCCCTCGCATTGATGCTGAAAGTCTTTTACCTCTCGAGGAAGAGTTTGGGGAAAACAAGTAAGAAGGTCGAGTAAGAGTTCAGATGTAATCGTTTGCTCTAAGATGGTATCCACCTGGTCACGGTAACATTTTCGCTTCTCTAAGCTTCTCTGGTATTCTTGATGAGCTGATAGCAGAAGGTTTGGATGACTGCATCGATTTAACTTATGTTAGATTTCAGGTCGGGATATAATGTTTGTTTCCAATATCGACAACACGGGTGCGTGCTTGAACCTGAGCATTGCCAGATGGTTTGCTGATGTCAAAGCTGACTATCTCATGGAATGTACCAAAAAAACTGAGTTGGATATCAAGGTATGCATTGTAACATTTTGAGTAACTATTCACTACCAGGGTGGAACATTGATTGATATCAATGGACAGCTTATGCACTTGGAAATTCCTCAGGTTCCACCAGAGCATTTGGACGAGTTCTGTTCAACAAAAACTTTCAAGTATGCTGAATCCATAAACTTTCGTAATAAAACTTATCACAGGATCTTCAACACCAACAATATTTGGGTTAATTTACGATCAGTAAAACAACAATTGGAGAGTATAAAGAGTGAAATAATCGTAAATAAAAAGGTATGTTAGTGCCCCTCACTTCAAAAATTGTACCGTTATAATTTGAAGAACGTACAAGGCAGAAACGTTATACAGTTGGAGACATCTATCGGCGGCTGTATTCGAAACTTTCCCAAGGCATACTGTAAGTTCAAAATCGCTAAGTAATTTTATTGATTAATTGGATGTGACCGGAAATGTTAATGTGAAAACATAATAAAGTTAAAGGTCTGTAACAGACAAGATAATACATGCATATCAATAAAATTGCGAAAAGGTTATGAAATATGCTTGATTGTTGATTTTAAGGTGTCCACGTGGAGAGAAATAGGTTCATACCAGTTAAAAAAACAGAAGATTTGCTTGCTATCCGTACTTCCTTGTACGGCTTTGAGAGTGATGGAACACCTAAACTGGAGAGAGATCAATAAGCTCTGTATTCGATCCGAAATACTCAATCATAATTGAGGCGTGCTAAAGTTAATCTAGACTGGGTGCTACAGTATTTCTTTACTGAGGAAGACGTATTACTTCAACTTTTTTACTTCAAGTCCATTCTTCCTGTCTGACAAATGTGATCCTTATGTTATACTTCAACGTTGTCATAACGATAATATCTTTGTAACTTGTATGTATGTTTATGTACTATTAATAAATCATCTTTTCACCTCAGTGACTCTTCAATGTGAATATTCTTAACGGAACAGTATTTCAATCATTTGTTGTTTACGGGAAATATTTTTAGAGAAGCCGAATGATTGCTGTGCCGTTGGCGTATGTTTCATAGCAGTTTCCATGACTACGCCGCTTTCATTCAGAAATTATTGAAATAAAATGGTAATTCACACTATGTATGGCAGCTTTTGTTAATTTAAATTCTTAAATAGGCATTCATTCTGTTTCTTTATTTCTTATTCTGATTTTTGCAGAAGAGATGATTAGTGACGATACATCTGACGATGAAAGTTCACAAATAAGGGGATTGGAAGAAGATCAGGTGGGAGTGTTTAAGTATTCTAAACAGGTGTTTTTAAGGGCATATATCATCATCAAGAAGTGGTTGTATCTCCTCAATACGAATCTGATGATGACAACTTACAGGTAGAAAGAGATCATCGAAGATCTCCGACTGGTATGGTATCTAATATGAATTCAAGTTCTGCTTCTTTATAAGTTCAGTACATTCAATTCTGACTTCTGCAGATTCGCGCTCCGTACATTTTACTGGCGATTACAGTGATGATGAACCTTCGAACGAGTCAGATCGAAGGATTATACAAGTGAGTTTTCTTTATTCCTTCTCCGTTGCCGTGACTCTGAACAAGGCTCTTTTGAGTTTATTTGTGAACATAGTGAATAACCTTTATGTGGCGCCTTCGTTGCCATGGCAACGCGACCAATCAAAGGCTCGACAAATTGGATAACCATTAATCTCCGTCTACCTATGTAATTCGTTCAAATTAAATTAACTTTTCTAGAAGCTGGAGAATCCTCATTCCGCTGATGTTTCTGATGACGAACTTAACCCTCTCAACCATTTAGCAGGTGAATTTTGAGCCTAAATAGAGATGTTAAGAAGATTGTCGATATTCAGGATCACATACTGGCGATTATCCACCCAATTCTCCTCCGGCTTATTCTAGCCCCAGAGATGCAGATAAAACCCGTTCAAACATCAACTCACCCCCTCCTAGACCATGTAAGAGTTCATACAATTTTAATCAAATAATCCTTTCTTAATAGCCATTAGCGGTAATGGAGCTTTAAATGAAATGATGGCGAAAGTGACACAACCGTTCACAGCTATTATTCGAGGCGGACAACCTGCTGATCAGAGTGATGATGACTGTTCGTTTTATTCAGCGTTTAAATTGATTTGTGGGTCTTCAAGACGATACTGAGTTAACTGGAGAGGAAGTACAAGTTTTGGAAATGATTCACGACTTTCGACCCGAACATATAGAAGTCCGTCCTGTGTTGAAAGCATTTATACCGGACTTCATACCAGCCATCGGAGATATAGATGCTTTCATCAAAATTCCACGTCCTGATGAGGTGAACATGTTTGAAACATTTAAGTTTTGATTGCTCATGTCTAAAGTCCATTTCGGAGCGTAGGCGAAAGAGCTGATAAGAAGATAAGCTCACTGGAATGATAGTAAAGAATTTTTGGAAAGACAAACTCTTATGAGAAGAGCTTTCTTATCGATTTTTCTGGAAATTTGTGAGATGTGTGAAAAAAAATAAATTTGCTATATATTGGGATGCCTACCAAGAAAAAATTCAACAGATTTGTAAAAAAAACTTTTCCCTTTGTAGTTATAATGAAATACCATTCTAGGTTGAAGATAACATCGGTCTCACACAACTGGATGAACCTTCAGTTAAACAGAGCGATCCCACCATTCTGGGTATGCAAATGAGGAACGCCACCAAAGAGGTGAGAATCTATACTAAAACAACAACAAAACTTATAATCATTTCATACTTTTCTAAGAACGGTTGTCCATATTCATGCTTACTACTTATTTTGTTTTATTGAAGGTTACAACTCAAGATGATATGCCTGCTAAACAATTAGAAAGAGCAGATAAAAACACAGAAGAAATTGACAAATGGATTTCAAACATTAAGGTAATTACATATTGCAATGTGTTGACCATTCTTACTTCTTCTACTTTTTAGGAACTGCATAAAATGAGACCTGCTCAAACTGTACATTATAAGGGTCCAATGCCCGACATCGAAAGGCTAATGCAAGAATGGAATCCCGTAATCGAGCAATCATTGAATAATATGAAGGTATCTTTTTACTTCTTACCACTATGATAAATTTTATGTTCTTAAAGCTTCCCACTGCGGAATTGGCCGTTGATCTGAAAGAGTTTATTGATATTTGTCTCAATATCGTCGATATACCTGTTGGTCGATCAAGAATACACAGCTTACATCTTTTTTTCTCTCTATATAACGAGTTTAAAAATTCACAACATTTTCGAAGTTTGGCTGAAAATAAGCTGTCAGCTAACTTTCACGAAACAACTGATCGTTTGGAGCTGTGAAATGTCGCGAAATGAAGATTTTACATGAACTTTTCATATATGAACTGTGTCCCTATACTTTGTCCCCATAAAAAAGTGCTTAAATCTATGTCTGAATGTTATCTATATGCAAAAGATTTCTATTTAGAAAAGTTTTCGCAATTATGATGACTGCCTGTGTTCTACACTCTCTGTTAAACAGTTTCGAAATGCTCTCGAGGAAGCAAATAATCATCATGGCTTCTGATTATAATCAGCGGCACACTCTTTTATTTGACACAGTGGATGGTGATTACCATCTCTTCTCTTAATAGCTTTCTCGATTCATAACTAACTGTACAGCTACCTTTTCCAGTATTACTTCTACTTCGATATCAGTGACACCCGGACCATTCATGGATTTGAGCTATTCGTTTCTCACGTTCTCAGGTAAATCTATTTCAAATATAGCTTCTCAGATGTTGATATCTCTTAGCGATTTTTGTTTTATCTGGAACTGTACCTATACATCATCGGAAGCGAAGCTTTTCTTCTGAAAACACTGACAGTCGTTCCCCATCTTGTGAAGTTCTGTGCCAAGCACAGTGGAAATCCGATTTTCAGGTACATTTTCCGATTGAAAGCGTGTGGAAGCTCTGTTTCTTCTTTGATGTATTTTTTATTATAAGAAAGGAATTCAACATTCAATTATGAGCTTTTTTATTACCATAATGCTGATATCTCTTTATTGTTCCAGGTCACTTTCCAAAAGATATTTGATCACTCCTACTTTGAAAGTCCTTTGGATCCGACAGTTCTCAGTTCGAAGAAAAGCCTCAACGAATTTTGCTCGATTACTCATCAAGTTCAGCAATCGATAAGAATTATCATTTTATTTGTAATTTAGAAGTATCGTTGTCTTAAAAACGACTGTAACATAAAAACTTTGGAGTGGACTCCAGACAAATTCATATGCGTGGATAAACTGAAAAGGTTTCAAGAAAACAACAGATGTTTGAGGTGAGAATAAGATATGCTCTCTAACGCTTACGAACGATTTCAGTCGCACCTCTGCCGTAATCAGAAAAGATTGCAATCATGTTTGTGCTAATGTGGAGACAGGTTTATCCAAGAAAGAAAAAGATTACGTAAAAGCTAAGAAGCTCACTAAGGCCATGCTCGCTCATCATGAGAGCCAAAATAGATTTTGCCAGGTTATTTCCTGCCACCAAATTTGTCATGTTAGTTTTTTTTTACTTTTGAAGTTAACAATATGTTTTTTTTTTAGGAAAGAGTTATTGGACATTTATGTGAAGACAGAGACAAGAAATCCGCTCAACAACTTGTTACTGAATATTACGAAGCAATCTTTTCGAGAGACTGGGCAGGTCGCGAGGACACTCGTACAGAAAATCTCTATAGCAGTTTCTGCCGTAGATTGACGAAAGGCTTGAATGAGGTACGTGTGCTTCTCTCGAAAACATCAGTCAGTATTTCCAGAATGAGTTCATTTCGAACATGTCGGATTACAACACCAAAATCTTAGACAAAATTGGATCAGAAGTGACGAGAATGCTGAAGGATATCAAACTGTGAAGCAATTAACAGCTGTTTTTTCTCTGTAAAAAAATTATTGTACATCAAAAGCTCTCTCCCCATAATATCAAGCATTATACAACCTTTTTTGAAGCAGAATAATGTATTGTACCGAGTTTAACGTAATGAATAGTTAGTTTATCCCAACTGTGAATCGTTTGGTTTCTAGTCGAGTAATCTCATCATCATGGGATAATCTTTATATATCACCCATGATAGTTTTCGCACTTCTGATTGAAACATTTTTCAAGCATTTTCGTTGAAATTCATCTCCGGTTATGTTTCTGATTATCTTTATGGCGTCCATAACCATCGCATGGACCCTTTCTAACGTTCCACCCATGGTTAGTATTAGTTGAGTGCCGTTTCGAAAGTCTCGCCCGTCACATTTCTCTCCTTTAAGAGACGTCGTGCGTAGTGAATGGAGTAGACTATAAAACTCATCTTTCTAAAGTGGCTTATCAGGTACTCAAAAATACATTTAAATTCTATAAAGAATGCAGTCTTTGGGAAAAGTTAATGATTGTGATATACTCTGTCATTCTGAAACACTTTTTGATTGTGAGGCTTACACTTGGGGAGGTTTGAATGTCACACCAGTCATCCATCTTATCATCTGGACTCTTCTCAGGTGTAGGAACCCATTGTATTCTCCATGGAAAGGTCACAAACCTTCTCGTTTTTCCCAAGAAGGATTCCATATATTCTACTTATGACCGACTGTGTCAGACTGGACAAGTAGGTAGGTAAATCACGGTTTATTTTTTTTCCATACATAACTAAAATGAAGCTCCACGTTTGACTTTGTGCGAGTTCCAGTTGAGAAGTGTTCTCATCGGTTCTCTCCAAGACGCAAAGGTAGTCGTACATCCCTTAGCATTTCATAGTTATTTTTATAGAAATTGTTCAGCGTTACCAGGGAAGCATGTGAAACACAGTGCATTATGGAAATTTTTTCAAAATGCACTTCGTACGCCTTTGATGAGACCGTACCGCTATACACTGGTGAACATTTGTAATAACTTACTATTCGATGCTTTTCTTTTGAAGGGACGAATTGCCTCTTGTTCGCTCAAAATTCTAAGAAGACAGTTCCTGAAGGAAACTATAGCTTATATGAAAACCCCTGCCGCGTGTGATTCATAAGAAATACCTAATAAACCATTATATACTGTAAAATTGTTTTCATGTTATATACGTAGTATTTTTAATGCTTTGACTTACACTTACATTGTTAAAAAGTGTTACGGTAGTATTACGCGGAACTGCGTACTTAAAACAAAAATTTAAAAATTCACGATATTCGACGAAGGATGATGTTATTTTTCTGCTAGGGATAAACATATTTTTCAAAATATTACTAATCTCGAATGAAGCGCTCTTCGGATCCTCTGATAAATCCTGTAAGTTTATATTATAAAATTTCCTTGATTTGTTTTCTTCTAAGCGAGGAGGAAAACAAACGTCTTTAGAATCTTTTTTACAAAGCAATTTACCGCCATGTGATACTAAACGAAAGAAGTCACAGTTGAAAATGGATTTATATCTTAAATGGAAAGATCCAGAAAGGTTGAAAGCTGCACAAGTTCGTAAGCTGAGTTGAAGTTATACTAAATGTAAATGTGATTCAGAGAGGGAGGAGTCATTCAGACCGACAAGGACAAAAAAATGTGCGGCTGAGCCGAAAGGAATTGTCGAGTTAGACGGTAGCTCCGATGAAAATTCTAGAGAAGAGAAGAAAGTAATGGCTGCCATATTTTGTCCAAAACCGAAACCTATTAAAAAGTCCCATTCACAGGTTAAGCCTTCTTCCATTTGATTGTGTAGATTG